CACACACACACACACACACACACACACAACATCGCGAAAATAGTCAAAACGGATTCAGGGGACCTCAAAACGTAAAAATCCGTCGAAAACTCGAGGTCGAAAAAAATCATGATTCCTATACTTTCCTTATATCTGTATACAGATTGGAAAGTAAAAATTTAAAGAAACGGTGAATTTATTAAATTATTAGGGTCTTTGCAAAAGTCAATTGTTTGGTCAATTTATTTCGATTTTTTACTTTGTTCTAAAATGTTGACTTTGATGTGACTTATTATTAACCCCAAATTTGCAATACTTGGTTTGCGACTTGCCGAAATGATGCAACTAGGAAGGTAAATCTGTTTTCCACTAGGTAGCATTTGATATGGTAAATCCGCAAGTGGAGAAAACTCTTTTCTCTAAAAAATGATGTGATTTTGATATAGAAATGCGAATCAGCCCTAAAGAAGGTAAAAATAGTTCCATCCGGAAAGCTTATGGCGTCGGTATTTTGGGATGCGAAAGACATTATTTTTATTGACCATTTTAAAAAGGATAAAACAATAAATGGACAATAATATGCTGACTTGCTTTTTGATCAGCTGCAACCGAAAATATTGGAGAAAAGACAAGTTTTATTCCATCAGAACAATGCGCAATGTCAAAAGTCTATTATAGTAATGGCACAGAATAACCTACCTATTGTAATGGCTACACTTGATGTACTGGGGTTTGAATTAATTACTGCCGCATGCACCCTATTCGCCAAACTTAGCCCTTTCGAATTTCAGTTTCTTTCCAAACAACAAAATTTCACGCAGACAAAAATATATGTCCAATTTTGAAGTCATTGCCACCACAAACGTTTATCTTAGAGTGCTGGATGAATCGGCCTACAGGAGCGGTAAAATGTAAAAAATTACAAAATCCTCGACTGCGCCAATTGGCGTCGGTAGGACCGGTGCCTTTCGGCGCTTGGACCAGCACCTACCGGCGTTTGTAGGACCGGCGCACCGAGAAATCTCCCGGGGGATTCATCCGCCCCTGGCCCTGTTGATTACTGGTTGATTCTTATAAGTAACATTTTTGTACTCGGACAATCACGACTCCTGCCGAGCGACAATTCTAGTAAATATTTCTGGAAGCACGTTCCATGTGCGTTGACTGTGGTGAGGCTCTTGGCAACGAGCACGAATTATAAATTTGCTAGTAATGCAGATGTCTTTTAATTTCAATTTAGGATAACATCAAAAAACTGTTAGTAATGAAAATTTGTAATTTTGTACGCATAATCGATATTTTCTCAAGAATTGCGAAAAATATTCGAATTAAGTATAAAGTTACAAACTATGAACTATAGAATTATATTTTGAAAAAGAAATGTTATTAAGCAGAAGGTATTAAGTAAACGTACATAAAGAACATATATTTTATATTGCAACACTCTCTCGTCGCCGGTTTTTTCTACTCAATTATTCCTGTAATTCTAGAAAAATAAAGAGGCAGAGACCAGAGTCAGACGAACGCAAAGATATGAGATACCACATCCTCATAACGGAACAATGCAACTTGACATGAAACATTACGTTTTTGTGGATATGGGCGCTTTTGGCATGTATCTACATTTATAATTTACAGACTTACATTAATAAATAGATTAATAAATTATGGCTTTTTAAATTCTTTTGAAACTTCAAATCGTTAAAAATAAAAAAGGGGCGGTGATCATTGGTACTAAGACCGGCGACTGTCGATGCTATGACCAGAGCTTTTCATCGCTAGGACCGGCGTACTGGGAAATCTCCTGGTTTCCCGGTGGGCCCATCCGTCCCTATTTTTTATCACCTTGCTTTATTAGTTTCACTTCAAGACTCTAAGGGGTCACTGAACTGTGACAGAAACCATTTCCAACCGAGAGCGGTAACATATTCTATGTATAATGTTCTTTTTAATTCTCTTATTTTTAAGTTAATTGAGTTTGATAAACAGGAGATCAAAAGTAATAGTAGCCATATGACTAGAGATTACTTAAGAAGATGGTAGAAAAAGTCCTTTTTGCCTCGAAAAGTTAATACTGTTCGAACTTTTTTACCACCTCCCTAAATAAACAGTGGATATTAGTCAAAGTTCGAACCAACCCCTTTTCCGATGATATATAGCTGTAAAGGTAGAAGGATCTGAAGAAAGAAATAGAGAAGGCAAAACCAATTTCTCACCAAACCTCATTTATTGTTCAATCACAATTCTTAAAAAAATATATTACTCGAAGCATAGTTTGTTAAAATTATCTGATTCCAGCTCAAAAATGTGAAAATTATCTTTTTCCGATACATTAATAGCACCCAGTTTTTTGTAAAAATTGACCGCAGGATTCCATTGTAGCACGAAAAATAAGGCAACTTTACAACCAAGCTCATATCCTTTTTTCATGGTAGTGATAAATAATTGTTTGCCAATTCCACTTCCCCTAAAAAGAAAATGTGCTTGCATTAATTAATTATTAGAAGTAATTTTGTAGTAGTTGATGAACAGGGGCGTGCCGAGTTTCTTAGGGACCTACCCGCAATTTCTTGGCTCCCAAAGATTCATAAAAAATAATACTTCGGCTAACAAAAAACAGATAAAAACTAAAAAAAAAAAACCAAATGATATATGATATATTTAGGTCAATAAGACTAATAAACACAAAACAAAAATTAACCAAATATCAAAAATAATAACCATGCGTTAAATTATACGATGTCTCAAGAGTGGCTTAAAGAAGAATGGAAAGAGCTGGGATAAGATTAAAATATGTACTTACGCCGACGAGAGTCGGAATCTGATTGACTTTAAATCTAGGTACCAGTTCGGATGTAGATAGCAGAGCTGGGGAGGATTCGAATCACATAAAATTCGAATCACATAAAATTCGAATCCTTTTTGAGGATCCGCGAGCGGTATTCGAAAACTTAAGCAAAAAAGGATCCGTGATCCGGATTCGCCAAAGAAATTCTTAAGGATTCATATTCGAATCACCAATATTAGTTTCAGATCCTTTTAGAGACATAGGGGTCTGGGGTCTATTCTGTAGCAATTCCTTTATAAATAACGGCCTTTAAAAATATTGGCGGCCTATAAAAATATGTTCGTATTCGTTAATTTACTTCTGTCATTATTTAAACAGATTTCTTTAAGATAGTCCTCTAATGTATTTTAAAGATCCGTTTAAATAATGACAGAAGTAAAGAAGAATAGACCCCTGAGACTGAATACCGATTGTTAATATTTAGAAGATGCCAATAAAGGCATCAGAGCACCTAGACAATTTTGAGTTGAAACCTGAGTCATATTTTTGAACTATTTTTATACCCTAGTCAAAAATTTTACGCTCCTCGTTTTTTACAAAAATGAAGGTTCTCTGCTAGCTTCGAACGAAGCCAGCAGAGCACCTCGGTTTTTTAAATCTTTTTTTCTAAAAACAACCACATCGCATTTTTAGACTATTTTTAGGCTCTTAAAATATTTGTAAAACTTTACTAAAAATTGCTATCTATATATCGCCGTTCCGGTAAAACAATGACGCAAGTGCAAAATTGTGACATTTTGATTTTAACATGTCATTAGTTTCCAAATTAGTCTCTCTATACGGTATAACAACGGCGAAATTTTTTATCCACTCCCGGCCATCTAAATGTTAGTTACTTCAATTTTCAAATATTAATGTTTGCCCCTCCACTTTTGAAAAACAATGACATATGAATCAGTTGTGTCTGCAAATTTAAGGGAGACATTACTTAGTCTATGGTTAAATGTTGTATTTGCTATTTAGGACAAGTTCTTTGTGATTTATGTGCTCAAATTTGGAAGTAATAATATTCGTTTTTCGTCTCTCCTGAAAAATTTATAATTTTGCATTTGCGTCGTTGTTTTACCGGAACAGCGATATATAAAATTGTTTGTCCTGACTGACTGACTGACTGACTTTTTTATTCGTTTTTTCAGGGAAACTGACACAACTAAAATCACACAAAAAAACTACCACATTTCAATTACCGATCTGACTAGCAGCCGAAATTGACTTATAATGTTTGAACAAACAAGGAGAGGTCACGTAAATTCATTAAATGACATAACGTTTAATACTACGGCCTGGACATCGGTCATGGCCTCGTTTGGGGCCATAGCAGCTAGAAATACTTCCTGGAGACATCTAAGAAGATACTCTACTGCATATATAGTGTTAAATGTTATTATATAGATGATACTGTAAATATGTAAATAAAGAATTTTGAAAGTAAAAAGTAAGTAGTCCAACATGCACAAGTAAAAATATAGAATTTCCACAAGTCTCATGTTGCTTGTAGATTTAACGTGCTTGTGAAAATATTACCAAACACACGTTCCAGTATACTTGTGTAATAAATTTGTGCACGTATATCGTTCAACTATACTGCTACGTCTATACATGGGGGCCTTAACATAACATTGTTTGGCTTCCGACCTTTTTACATAAACAGTCTTAATTCTATCACCAATAGTGGACCTAGGTACACCATAATATTCAGCAGCTTGCTATATGGTTTTCTTGAGGGTTTACACCTCACGGATGGCATTCTCTAAAATTTCTGATTTTTATTTTTTTCGTGCAACAAAATTGAACTAAAATAAGCAGTTCAGTTGAGTACAACTTACTTTTCAGTATCTATTGAATTAAGAAACTTTAAATATATATAAAACGTAAAATTGATCGCGACGTGCGACCACTACAACAAGCGGAAAACATTTGGATAACGTAGCGTCCTATACAACAGTGACTCCAGGAGAACGGTATAGACAAACAATGCTGTTAAATAGGGAGAAATAGAATACCGTTATCTCATTTTATGGTAGAGTTGTAAACATGAGTCCAGAGATATAACCATTCATTGATAAAATATAATATTCACGATGCCAAGATTAATTCGACAATCAATACGCTCTATATCTAGGTCCGCGGCGAGGAGACGAAAGGTGATAAGTAAGAGAGGGGATAAAGAGAAGAATTTTACAAAGATACAACTTTATTTTATCAATGAATAAATGTGCGCTTATAATAAACAACGTAGATATATATGCCACTTCCAACTTACGATTACTAGGTTTTGGAATTTATTGAAAATTTAGTGAAAATACATCTAATTTAGTTAAATTTGATATAACTAATGATTCAAAATTTTTTGGGTTTAGTTGCAATAAAATAGGTTGAATTATTTTAGCTTTTTTAATATAAGTAAACTAAACGAGAATAATAAAATAGGCATATGACAACAACGGATATTATACCCTTCGGTGTCCCTTATAATATGTCTTATTCAGGACCGCACGATATTTGTTAGTAGTTACCTCTATATGCGTTTAATCACGGCTGTCAGACATGCGAATCGCGAGTTACTCTCTTTAAGCCACTCACGTCCAAATTTAATTAAATCATATCATATTTATTTTGTTTGATGTGTTGGTTAGCAAAGGGCTCTTTCAGACACAACGGTTTTGTTCATACGGAGACAACTTGTACGAATTTTGTTCGTGTCTTGGTAGAATTCACATTCGACGGTTTTCTTTTCCGTGAACCGTCTTTGGCTATTGTATTTTATGTCAGTTGGTTATCGACATGAATCGAAAGCGCACCGTTGCCATGTGGCTTTTGTACCGTCATATAGAAAAGTATTGGAAACCACCAGGGGGGATATCGCGCATGGTGTCATGGCGGTACTGACGTCATGTGTAGAGTTAATAGAGTTGGCGCGAAGTAAATATAATATGACACATGCACGTTGCTGTAGTTTGTAAGTCGTTTATAGTAATTTATAACATTTTAGGCTGATATTTGTATTATTATATTGTAAACTGTGTTCCTTCTAAGTGATGTAAGTGAAGTACATCAAAAAAATGCGGTACGCAATTTACGGATCTAACAGTGACAATAAAAACAAAGGACTTAAAGAGAACGTAGTTGGACAGTAAGAGGTTAGTCAGAAGAGGCCCAAGGGCCACTACCGTGGGGGTCCCAGGTGACCACGTCCTTCCTGTATTAAAATTGTTATATTCCATGAACCTTTAAAAAAAATATGCTAAAAAGAGAATTGTTACAGGCAATGGTACCCCTCCCCGAAAATTCGAACTGGAACCACCATTTCAGTGGCCTGTGGACGTGCAGATAAATTTAAATAAGAATATTGTCATGTGTGTTCCAAGCACGTTTAACCTTCCAATTATAAGAGGGACCTCAAAGCAGAACTTCACGTTGGTTCATTCGCAACTCGGGACTTCTTAACTAGAGACTCTTCCCTTTGGTTGAAAATTTCTTAATATATAGCAAAGGTGAAATTGTATATGTCGCAAAAAAACATTTTTACATGTACTTGATCGAAGAGTTAAAAACCTGTCAGTGACTATGTCCTGGAAAAATACAGTGACATTTTATTTTACTTTTGTATATACACCCACCATGTAGCAGTTATTTGTATTTGTTACATTATTTTTATGTTCTGAGTTACATGTATAAGTAGTTGTGATTGTTTTAGTATCGTACCTATACATAAATCTCATCTTTTCCATAAATAAGTAGTTAACTATATTCAATTGGGAAATATAATGCAGGTAAATGAGTCAACTGTTGCGAATCCTAATCAGTTAAATATTTCCGGTGTCCCCAGATGCGAAATTTTTACCCAGGATCCTAAGCTGACAAGTTCCGAGTTGTGAATATACCTTTCTCATTATCCTGAATATAAAAACTATTCCTTAGAATCCGAATGTTCTCTAAAATTGAAAACCTGCATTCGAATTTGTATATCAAAAATAAATCAATAAAAAGAAAAAAACTGTTACTTACAATAAATATTTCTTTTATATATTTGTATATATTTGCATTTTTTATTTTCCTTTATAGCTCTTTCCCATAATATCTTTAGATATTTCAACTAATTCATGAAATACTACCCTTTAATATTCACGAAATTTCCGTAAATAACATATATTTCCGAAGTTTATAGGAAACACTTAAATGCTTGTTTGAAATCAAGGTTCTAAGCTAAATCATTCTAGAATTACCTATAATTAAGTACCTATAATTAGTTCTCCAACTTCAAATATTTTATGTTCTGTCAATTTGATACATACCTTTGCTGGGGTCTCACATAGAGATCAATTAGGTGAAACATGCTTCCTTCATAAGTAGAATAAGTTTGGCAATAAGCAGAATATCCAACCAAAGATCCATTGGGTGTTTGTGCTACAAAACAATTAAAGGCTTTTTCAGAGTAATTTTTTTGAAACGTTTCTTGATCTATCATCAGGTTTAGGGGTAATTTCACGTAATCCATAAGCTCCTATATTGAATAAAAACATCAGTAGGTAGGTATTGTTAATTAAACTGTTTAAAAATGTAGCATATTTACCTTTACCATTTGAAATACTTCTGGTATATCTGCCAGTTCCGCAAGTCTAATGGTTACAATGGATTCCTTTTCAGCCGTTGACATTTTTTTTGTTTCTTTTCTATGGATTTAATATAAATATGATTATTTGAAAGTGTTTGTGGAAATAACATTTATTCATTTATCTCAAACTTTTCAATATAAAATATTATGTATACAAATATTTTACTTTTTTTAGCTTTAAAGCTTCTTTTAGCTTTAAAATATATATAATTAATTTGACTTTGAAATAGAACAAACTCATCTTTCATAGATCTAAGCAAACATCCAAATATATATATATATATATATATATATATATTGATATGGATATGAGTTTGATAGTCAGGATTTTGTTTATATTGATTATAGTGTGATATATTTTTTATGTTTAACTTGATAATTTTTTTTTTTTTTTTAAATAATTATTACTCAACCATATCATTAGTTATACGAATTTACCTTTATTAATTTCTTATTGCTCCGGCTATTACTCTTATCATCTCACGGGTCTTGGATTCTGGCGCTATTCCTTGTTAATATGAATCTTTTTTTTTTATTTAATAAGTTACCTTTCTCGATTAGAGTGTTATTTTCCCAATTAATCAATAAAATATTCCTTTTACAAAAATATTAGTTTCATTTTATTTACAAACCAAATCATTTCAACATTTTGATATAAATAGGAACAAGAAAATTATTTATAATCAATTTTGTGGATAGAAAATGGCGGACACGCCATCTATTGGAGGATATTACAGTATGCTGTGCTCTGGAGTTGAATCACTTTATTTAAGTAAAATTAAGACTAGCTTTCTGTAATTACCCTTCCTAAAATATTTGTAAAGAGCTCTATACATCTAACCTAAATTTAAAAAAATTATTTACACCAATGCAGGATACAGAACGTAACAAAATGTTTATTGTGTTTGAAAACCGAAAGTCAATTAATAAACTGTTCAAAAAAACTTTTAAAAGTAAGTAGCTTGCAATATCGTTTTTAATCAACTTGTTTAAATTATTTTACTCACTAAAACCTCAGTTCTTTCCTAGTTAAAGTTATTTTGATTCCAGGAATTGGAAATATACTCCTCAACATGGACGAAATGGCTGATTCCCACAGAATCGTCGGTCTGCTTGGTGACCGGAGTTCGATACACGATTTGCTCCTTCTAGTTAACGGTAGGTAATTTTTTTACTCACCCAGGATGTACATAATAAAATTTGAAAGAATATTTTATTATTTTTAGGTTGTAATTTGCTTAAAATATATCAAGAATTCCAATTTTAATTTCAAAAAAAATCTCAAACGTTTGTCAAAAACTCCATCTCAAAATCAACAACCCCTTAGTTACCCCTTGGATACCAATCATCCAAAAAAAAAAAAAAAGTAAAGGTAGGTTCATATATGTTTTTTTTTTATGTTATTGAGATACTCTTTGTGGTCATTGCAATGTGATTTTTTTTTAATTATGTTTACTTTTTAGTGATTTTTTTTTTAAGTGAACCTTTATTGTTTAATCATTATTTAATATTTTTTTTATCACTTATGACAGCTAATGTTTCTTTTTACTTACAAAGTTACTGTACTAATTGTCACAGTGTACAGTTCGTCCCAAATTAGAATTTACTTTTGTTATTTCATTTCAACATTCCCTAAAATTTGTTGAATCTTTTATTTTTCAGAAGAAACAAGAAAAGTTCAACGAATTTTATAATCATTAATTATTAATTATTTTAATATTCCCTTTCTTTTTTGTTAATGATAGGTAACCATAATATTAAAGATATCTATTTTTTTTTTAGTTTGTGTCTTCATAGAATTTATGCAACTGTTGTATATTGAAAATGCCCCTGATTTTTCCTGTTACTGGATGTGTCAGTTCGTAGCTGTTCACCCCATCTTTAGTTGTAATTCGATATGGACCTGTGTATGGTAATTGGAGCTTTGTACACGAGTCATTTCGTCGATTGGGAACTCTTAGTGCTTTCAAAATGACTAGATCACCATACTTAAAGGTAATCCTTTTCCTTTGTTTATTTAAATGCTTATTTACATTTTTGGCTGCATTCTGCTCTAACTTTTGCTTTGCTTTTTGTAGGATATCCGTGTATTTTTCCTTGTTTTCTATCTCCCATGGCCTTATTGGATACTGATCTTTCAACAAGATTATAGGAGCTATTTCTGTCACTGTACTAGGTACGTGATTCATGTAGTTCTGTATTTTTATTAGGTTTCGTTCCCACAATTTTTGTTCTTCATGTACTAATATCCTCAAATGTTTTATGATTTCTTTTATAACTCTCTCCGCTGGGTTAGCACATGGGTGTCTTATGCTTGTAAAAATGGGATTGATTTTTGATTTCCTTAGCCATGTTTTTAAATTCGTGTTGTTGAAGTATGTTGCGTTATCCATTATGATATTTTCTGGAATACCTATATTTACAAAATATCTTGTTAAACATTCTTTGACGGTTTTTTTATTAGTTTTCTTACAGGAATATGTCATTACATATTTTGAGAAAATGTCGGTAATAACAAAAATATGTTTATTTCCTTCCTCACTGGGTATAAGATTAGAAATGAAATCCACTGCTATTATCTCTAGTGGTCTCTTAGCCACTATAGATTTTGGCATATTTTCACAGTGTCTATTTTTTTCTTTTGCAAATTGGCATAATTTGCAACATCTTATAATGTCTTTAGTTATTGTCAAATCATTTTTGCTAACATAGTTTTCTCGAAAAACTAGTAGAGTTTTCCTAGCTCCTATATGATTATATTTTTCATGTATATCACTTAGAATTATTTTCGCCAGAGTATTTGTTATGACAAATAATTCATTTTCACCGCTGTTTTTTATAAAGATGTTATTTTTCATAGTGCATTTTCTTTTTTCCTCTGTGGTTAGATTGTTTTGGTCTTCCTTTAATTTTTCTTCTGAATAAATGCCTTTTTTTTCTTTTAAAATATTGTAACCGATTGAGATTTGATTTCTATCTGTCGTTTTATTCATGTTATCCATCCTAGTGATTGCATCTGGTACAATATTCTCCACTCCTTTAACGTATTTTATCTCGAAAGAATACTCTTGGAGTAATAATGCCCATCGATGAATCCTTGCGTTTTTATACCTGTTGTTCAGAATAGACGTTAAAGCTTGGTTATCCGTTTCAATTATGAATTTCCCTCCCAATAAGAAGAAACGTAACTTGGTAATACAGAAAATGATACTTGCCAACTCTAGTTCACTAGCTCCATAGTTTTTTTCAGACTTTTTAGTTAAACGTGATACAAAAGAGATGGGTACCTCTGTTTCTTCATGTATTTGTGTAAGTACACCCGCAAATCTATTGACCGATGCATCTGTTTTTAGAATGAATTGCTTTGTATAGTCAGGATGGTATAGTCTAATTTGTTTGGCAAATTCTGTTTTTATTTTAAGAAAAGCATCTTCCTTTTCTTGGTCCCATTTCCATTTTATGTTTTTTCTTAGTAGTGTTGCTAGTGGCAATTCCATTTCTGATAGATTAGGAACCATTCTTTTGAAGTAATTTAATGTTCCCAGAAAACCCCTCAAGGTTTTTAGGTTCGTTGGACGTTTATAATTTTCAATAATTTTAGATCTTTCAGGATCCATACTAATACCAGTACTGTCTACTTTAAAACCTAAATAAACTGTTTCTTTCTTAAAAAATTGACATTTATTTACGTTGAGTTTCAAACCTGCTTCATCCAAAGCTTTCAATATTTCTTCTATGTGTTGAAGATGTTCAGTTTCATTTCTGGAAAAAATTAAAATGTCGTCGATATAGTGTAGAGTAAATTTTTCAAACTTATTTAAAATTTTGTGTAGAGCTTTTAGTAACGCTGATGTGGCTGTCTATATACCAAAAGGTGTGACACAGAAACGATATACTACACCATCTACTATGAATCCTGTGTAGTCTCTACTGTTCTCATTCAGTGGGATTAGCCAGAAACTGTGTTTGAGATCTAGTTTCGTAAAAATATTTGCATTTGTTATTTTTCCTAATATTGCCTCAACTGTAAGTGGTGCTTCGTACTCAGGAATAGTACATTTGTTTAAATTTCTGGCATCTAAACATATTCGCATGTCACCGTCTTTTTTCTTGACAATTACTATTGGATTGATGTACTGTGTGGTGCTATGTTCTATTATTTTATTTTGTAATAGTTTATCAATAGTTTTTTTCATGTCTTCTCGATATTGTTGAGGTATAGGGTATGATTTTGATTTGAAACCCCTAATATCTTTGACTTTTATTTCATGTACGTAGTCTTTTGCTACTCTTGCTTCTTCTTTTACGAGGCCTTCATATTTCCCAATCAAATTTCTTACTTCATTCTTTCTACTACCATCACAATCAATGCTTAAATTATTTAAATTATTTTTCATCTTTGATTCCTCATTATATTCTTTATTATCTTCACTCCACTCCTTATTCATATTCCCTATATCCTTGTACAGTTCATGTTGTTTGTTGATTGATCTTATCTTTTTTGTTTGGTTTACTTCTTTGGATTCTTGTCCATTTTCCACGTTATTTTTAAAATTTACATTTGTACCCTTTATACAAAATTGTTTATTTTTGTAATCTATGACACCTTTATGCTTGTTTAATTCGTCTGATCCCATCAGTACATCGTATTCCATATCCGGGACAATCAATAATTGCATACTTACACTTACATTATTAAAGTTCACATTTACAATAACACTCTTGTTTGTTTCGCCTAGTCTTCTTCCACTTATTCCTATTAGTTTTATTTTTGGAATATTAATTATATTGTTATTTACAGAATCATCACATTTATCAATCACTGATTGTTTGATAAGTGATCCTTCTGATCCACTGTCTAAAATAACATTTATATTTATTTTATTTACATTTGCATTTATTATTGCTAATTCGAGCTTATTTTTTTGTTGCAGGTCATCATGCAGTTTAATGAACTCTCTAGGATGGACATAACTACATAAACCCCCCGTTATGCCATCCTTTAAAGAAAATTCTGAGGATGGTCCTCAGTTGAAGAAATATGAGTATGCTGGTTTA